TTCGTTAAATTCAGGTTATAGCTGTGTTCGAGTACTTGAACGAGCAGCTTGTGAACCGTCACCTTGTTGATACATATGGCGCGGCTAACAACGAATTGCGTGTGTTCCAAAAAGCAGTCAACAGTGTGTTCGGGCAAAGAGACTTCAGTGCGCCTAATCTGTTCAGAACTTTCATGACAAATTTCATGCGACGAATGGCTCAGTGGGCCTCCAATTGGCTTAATTCGCGTATTGATGAGCTACTTGTCACATGGCAAGCGGTGCAAAATGCAGCTACCCCGGGATCGCACGCATATCAGGTCGCAACAAACTACACGGCTGATCTGAGGCAGCTCAGAGAGTCGGTTCGACTAAGTGTGATTTTTGACGACTCAATCTTCGTTTATATGCACACACCAGGTAGCTAGTTGCTTCAAGTTGGCTTTTAGCTGACAAAGAGGAGGAAAATGGAGTATTTTCCAATGATATGACTAGAAAGGATCGGCGAAAGGAAGTATGCATTTTCTAGGGATATCACACATTTTCAATGTTTATATGATGCTCACTATCTGGTACTATGTACATAACAAGCATCAAGGACACATATGCATCAAATCAATTGTATGGCCATTTGGCTTTCTCAAGTCGGGTAAAGTGCCAGGAAGTTGGCTCCCGCCAAGAGCTTGGGTACAGTTTGTTAGCATTGACGTAATGGAAATCCTGCCAAATTTCTTTGAGCGAGAAACCATCTGACATGAATTCGTAAAAACGGTAAAAGATCTGGGTGATGCTGATTTTGAGGCGGCCATCATAGCCATCCTCATCTGGCCCCGACAGAGGCCAATCCGGATCAATTGCCCATATCCATCCATAGTACATATCTGGGCCATATGTGCCACAAGTTGAACGAGCCTCGTCTGTCAACAAGAAAAACACATTTTTGAGAACACCCGGCTTTAAGTCACCCCTCTCGCGGCGATCACGAAATTCTCTGGCTGATTGTTAGCAATGTCTTTAATATTATGTAGGAAAACTCACTGCTGTAAATGGCTGATGTCGCTTTCATCGGCCTCGAATGGGACAAATTGAGCGAATTTGTGATCGTGTATCTCTTCATATCCCTCAAAAAAGAAAGGCATCTCAAGGACCTCGGCAAATAGCGCCCTAAACTCATCCAGTCTGGCCATTCCTTTCTGATGATAAAAGACAAAGCCCCAGCTCTTATCATCTTCACGAACGACAATCCTTCGCACCCAATCTTGCAGATCTGGGAATGGTTCTTGTTTTCGCTTTTCATGCCTTGCCTCCAAGTCATCATACTGTTTCTGAGGAAATACCTCATTCACAGCTTGAACGGCCTGAAGCTCCATTGGTGAAAGAGCTGCTTCTTGTGCCTGTTTCAGTTTATCGTAAAGATCAGGACGCATCTGCGGCCACGCGAATCGATCACCCTTGTCAAGGGTTGGCGTAATGCGGAAATGATCGCGAATCAGACGACATTCCGCGTATGTGAGGGATTGACGGTCCGTAGCTGCCTTTTGAAGCAAGTTTTCAACTGACATACCCAAGTATTTGGTTGTGTTGGCCTGCATCTCTTCTAAAGGCGGCCATTGCATCAGCTGGTGTTTCTCATCAGGTGAAATTTCCCCTGGATGCTGGATTGCTTTGTCCCAGAGAGGCTCTAATTGAGCAAACTCTTCTAGTGTTTTGGCCATGATGGGCAGAAAGGGATAGCTTTGCCAACGTCTCCAGAATTGTTGTTCACGTCCACGGCTGGATTTCCGAGGTTGATCCTATGAAACCAAAGTGTGGAATATATGCGGATGCGACCGGTCTTTATACCCGTGCATGGTTTCCAAGCTACTGGCCCTAGTACAACCTTGGAATACGCGACAAACGCAGGTCTCACAGGGTCCACGGGCGTTTTTGCGGAAACGCCAAGGTTTCCGAAAAAATACACAGGAGGGTAATTTACATGAATCTTTACACAACCCGCACGGGACGTATTATATCCGCAGTTCACACTGCGACATACTATCTGCATTTTATCTCAGATGTTCAACCTTGGAAGTTTGGAATTATCAATGATTCTTCTGTCAGTAGCAGTCGAAAGTATTTTGGGACCGTTTTCTTTATATCATCGTTGCTACCGTTTAAAGAACCGAAGGTAGAAGCTAGACATAATTTGCTAAATATGGCCGTCCTCCTCGCTGAGAATGGAGGTATTCGTCGGAAAGTTCCTGTCGGAAGGCTGTATGTATATGTCTAAGCCCTGGTAGTTACATCAAGGCTCCTTGGCTATACGACCAGTCCTCGAATATGAATTTAGCTCTGTAGCGAGGACCCAATACTTTGTCTAAGTGTATCAGCGTTTTGTCATGGGTATATATATATAGAGAGTCTAGACTAGGCCGTATACTTACAAAAATAAATTTATTTTAATAATTTTCATTTTATATATTTAATATATATACTGTATATCTGATTTGTATTTAAATAATAGAGAATCCAAATTTATATTCATTATTTATTATAAGTTGGAATGATTTTTAAATTTTCATTAGGATTCTAGTTCTAATCCTGGCAGGCTGGTAGATAAAAATTAGTCGAATAACTAAAATAAATAGTCTTATTTAGATTTGGACTTCCAACTTTTCTCCCATCCACTCCTCCTCCCTTCTCCTCTCCCGCTCAGAAAATTGAGTAGAGGGAACAGATTCCTCGGCACAGAAGCGTCAACATCGTTCACCTCTGCTGGCTCGATGAAGTCGTTCTTCTTCTTCCCACAGCTGCCTTGGGAAATACGAGATGCAATCTGGCGATTATGCCTCCCGGGCCCTCAGATAGTAGAGTTTGATCGTCCGATCTGTGACAATGAACCCTGCCGTGGATTTTGTGGGGTCCATCATCGCTATCACCTCCGACTTCCGGCCCTTGCAGCTGTGTGCCAGGAGTCACGCCTGCTGGTTCTTCGAGAATATTACAACCCTGAGGCGGACGCCGAGATCCCGCGCCCGTACTATCCCGCCGCATACGAGCACGTTGTCTTCCGACCGGGAATCGATATTCTGCACTTTAACTGGGACGAAGGAGACCTGGGCGCATACGATCTCTGGAACGTAGAGGACAACGCAATCTCATATTTTTGCGCGGTGACTCGGAAAGCAGTACACAACCCGATCTCCATCACTGACCGACACCTCCGGCAGGAATTCGACGAACCCTTCTTCGCCGGCAACGTTCGCGTTGCCGCACTGGACAAGTATGCAATGCGAGACCACTGGTTGGTTCTAATACGGACTGTCAGTTTTGACTTCAAGGACGACGCTGAGGCGCTGCAGTCCGGGTTGTTCGGGGAATTCGAGCTGGACCCTGTGCGCTACGTCGATCCCTATGACTCAGACACCCTGCACCGTTATCATCAGCTCTGGCAGACGCAAAACCCCACTGGCATCACCACCTGCAACACTACTGTTCCTGTCACTCCGAAAACACTATGGACCCGAGAGATCCAGCAGGCGGCCGCCGCAGAGTTCTTCGCGCTTCTGGAAGATGATCACCAGCCACTGCGTGACCGACTCGCGCGGTGGAAGGAATACATTGACCGTCGCTGGGTCTGGAATGTATTCTACCGGATGGCTGAAGAGGCCAAGGCCGGAGCCCCGGTAAGCGTTCCGGATCGTGACGTGCTGTTCCTTCCGCCCTACCCTGGCTACGACTGGCAAGATGATGAGGAGACTTACGACTACTTTCGATCCAAATATACACTCAACCGGGACCATCCTTGGATACAGGCAGTTTTGGACAAAATGCCCGTCTTCCAGCCGATGATTGTCTTCCGCCATCGGATGGGGATTGGTTGCAACGGCTGGCATTTATACGTAGTAGAGGGGTCTTGAAAGGAACTCTGCCGGCCTCCCAAGCTAAAGTTCGCATCGAGCAAACGTGATTTATGTAGTGGGAACTAGAACCGCATCCTTTTCATATTTGAGTACTATATTCCTTCACTACTACCGACACTCAGTCAGCGCTGCTTTAAATCAGGCTTACCACCATTAGTATGTATCCTTTTTTTAGATTATCATTGCTTTCCTTGGCTGCTTATTCCATCAGTTGCCTAATCTTCATGTCGCTGTTTTGGGTATTTTGACAGAGTTAAATATATGCGGCCAGAGTGCCAATCAATATAGTAGGAGTGACCTATACTGAGTAGATGCCCTTATCAGGCTGATACAGGCTATGTTGGCAATGACCGTCCACGAAAGTCCAGCCATTGTGATCTACTATGTCACGATTCAAACTTTACTAAATTATATACATTCAACCATTGAACATTGCTTAGCCTCACGTGGAGTTGCGGTCCGTGCATCCCCTAATGCCTTCACCCTTCCGGATATAAGCTAAAATCATTCTCTGCCAGCGCTTAGCTTTATCCGTTTGATCCCAAGTGTTGATTTATAACCGGCTACCGGGCAGTAATACAATGTAGTTGTCAGACCACTTGTTTTGGTGACCGCCTCATAGTGCAAGTACTCTAGCAGGACAGTGCGGGTCAAATCTATTAGGTAATTATAGCTCTACACTACAACCGTGAAGTGATACTAGCTTCATTTTCGATAGCTCTACGCTTCTTTCCTCAGGGGATAGCCAGGATAGTACAGTTACTTTGAGGCTTAAGCATTATTTTAAAAATATATATTACGAGGGGTAATTCATGCGCGATGAAGGAAGGTCTGATAGAGCTACTACTAGTATTGATCATAGTATTGTCAGCTGTTATATCCACCTGCCAGCCTCTATGAGCTTCATTATCTATAACCATGAGTATCTTCACGTCGCCAGTCCTTATTACACGATGCCTAGAAAAAGATTTCTTCTCTACTGTATTTCACATTATTTCACATTGTGTGCTAGTTCCAATTACAAACCATTGAATTGTATGTTTACCGGACATGAAGCAGGACGTTGCAGTGGGAAAAGGGACAAAGATAACGAAAATCACCGTGCACTGGCCAGGCAGTCTAGTCCCTCGCATCAGACTCAGACTCCGGATCTGAACTATCGAAGCCAAGCCGTCGGTCAGAAAAGTTATCGCCACGCGATGAAATGCATCTGTGGTTGGATACGTCCGGACTGACTCTTCCTGTCAACTTTGCTTTCATTTCCGGCGCTAGAGCCATAGGACTATCACCTGTGACTTGTTGTATTTGGATAGGGCCTGCACCAGATCGACAGACTTCCAGCCTAGTTATTGAACTTTTTGTATAATGTACCAGCTCGTGGAGCAGCCAAGCCGCCCGTCTCAGCATTTCTTCATTTTCTTGTTTCCACTGAATAATTTTATCTCGCATGTCCTGTACCCGGATCTCCTCGAACAGTCCGCGGTTGTGATAGGCTATGATAAGGATCGGGATCTGGGATACCCACAGATGAGGGGTCAGGTCGGTTATATTAATTTTTTTTTTGATGGCCTTTGTCTTGAAGTCAACCATTGACCGAGTTTTAATATTAATGATATCGCGCTGGTCGACCCGTCGCCCAGCTTCCTGAATTGTAAGTTTTCCAGGATCTTTAACAGGATCAGGACTGTGGTCTTCTTGAAGCCTTGCTATCAAGCTATTAATATCAGAGTCTATATCCCCAGTCAAGATGCCCCTGCTTGCATGTAGGTTACTGGATGACATCTCCGGGGACTGCTTTGGAATATAACTATCTGATTCAAATCGAAGGAGAAGGTCTAGGCCTCCAAAGGTATACTTGATTATTTGCTGGTATAATTCAGAACCAGCAAGTCCCGGTCCCCATGTTGTATTTTCATCAAGGAATATATGTCCGTAGCCATGGACATTTAGGATCAGATCGTTGGGCGAATTCTTCCTTCGGATAAAGTATATGCTATCTCCAGCCGTTTCTATTATGAACCTGAAGTCTTTGTCCATGCCTCGAGCGAACCGGACGAGGTTTCCGAAAGTACTGGAGCAGGTTACTATATTGATATTGGTGATATTGTAGTCCGGACTCTGCCTTCTGATTGCCTCAAATGAAGCCTGCTACGGATAAGAAGGATACCTGGCTGTATTAGGATCGTGAAAGTACTCCCCCCGATCCGGTTTTAGCTGGCAGCCTTCAGTTACAGGGCTCTAGATAGGCGGTTCGCCTTGCAGAATAATTTCTGTTATTATTATTACTCCAGTGGCTGCCGATGGCAGGTGGGAAATATACCGGGTACCAGAATCAATAGCGTGGCTCAGCCTAGCCATGTGTACAAACTGACATACTTGCAGGATATAATTTGGGGGCATTCCTTGGATCTTTTGAGTTTGGTATTATCAATCTCCAACAGTAGAGGACTATATGGAGGCACTGGAGATTCAGCAACTGAGTCTTGTCTATTCCCAGGCTGTCTGGCACCCGACCAGCCTCGCCGAGCACCATGAGGCTTGGGTAGATAAAGACCTGATGGAGCCCTCCACATAATAATATTCACTGTTATTAATAGAGTCTCAAGGTTGTTTGAATTGATCTTTTACCAATGATACCAGGTGGGGTTGGGCATAGTCGAGATTGAGGATTGCTCTCGCCGGGTACCAAAGCATGGCCTGCGATCGCACCCCGGTCAATTGTGCGACCATTCACATGTCAGCCTCGTCATTCACCCTACATTGGCTTATCTCCCTTTCTCCCTTGCAGGCGGGGTTCTGGCGGGGTTTAGCTATCTCTCCTCTGCTCTTGACTCATCTACCCTCAATGATCACACTTTCCCTTCTCTGCGATCAGTCATATTGGCTTCCCCTTTCCCAATAGCAACACACTCCGATAGGCTCTCCAAGCACTTAGTGCTCCTTGAGAAGGGCAAGAGACAGGTGATAAAATTAGATAATGCTAAACTACTACTAGAAGCTCTTTATGGTCAAGATAACCATTTATACTATATTAAAAGAGTGCTTGCTTCTCCTGCTCTGAGTAATTTGCTTCAGAAGAGCTTCTGTCTGGATTTATCACCGGAGTTTATCAACAATTCTGTGGTCCTATTCCTCATTTACATACAGCACCCATCAATTGAGGATTTTGGGAGTGGACAATTTCTCTGTTAAATTGTCTCCAGTATCATCAAACCACTTATATTCTGGAATGCCTTTGTTCAGCTTCACAGCCAGAAAAGGCTTAGTGATCAGGCTGATCAAGGCTTTGCATAATTACTCCTTAACATAATCAGTACCCAGGGCTGTCCCAGTGAAATCATTGTTACTGCCCAGCAAATTTTGTAGGCCTGAATATTTCTCGTTTCATCCTCCCTAGAGGTTCGTACTATCGGCTATCATATTAATGGCATCCTGAAGACCCTCAGAACTAGGATAGATGGGAAGGATGACTTCTGGCTTGGTGACAGATATAACAATGACTTTAAGTGCTTTTGTGATATCTCTATCCTGCTAATCCTAGATGAGATCGCTTCGACGAAGAGGCCCTTCTATCAGCGTATGGATAACATCTACCAGGTTTCAGTAGATGAATAATCGGTTGCTCATTATAATAACCAGTTTCGCCTGTTGAGAGAAGACATGCTAGCAGAACTGAGAAGTGATCTTTAGCTTACTCATAGTCAGAGAAAGAGGTGAAGATTGGTTTTGATTATTTATGGTCTCCAGCTCACTGGTGTCAGCTGTGGTGAGGAGGAGAACTGTTGAAGGGTCTGTAGTATTTAATTTAAATATATAAAAAGCATCTTCTGATTATCCCACCTGCCCCAGGCTGAATATAAATAATTACTGAGTAATACTCCTAACTTCCTGAAGTACTAGATCTTTGGATGCTTGCTGGATAAGATAAAGATTATCAGGTTTGCTTCTTTAGATTATAAGTTGTCAGATCTCACAGATGACGTCCCAATAATTATATTGAGCATGTCTGGTGATGCCGCCCTCTACCGCGTTCTCACATATACTAAGATAGGACTTAAGTTTGTATTCCTGGTTATCAATACTCCTATTTTTGCATATGAGCCAATTCTCCTGCGATTGCAATCAGTGATAGAATATCCATTATTAAATATACTGCTTGCGCCAGCTCCCTCACCGGAGCGGCTGACGTTGGATGAAAATCTTGAGACTATTGTTGAACAGATACAAAACAGCAAGGGTCAGTCACTTCATTGAATTATCCATACCATGAAGAGCATATCCCTGGATAAATCACAGCTTTAATCTCTCTTAGACGGTTTGCAGCAAAGCATAAATATAATCTAAGGACTACCTGGTGAATCTATACCCGCTCTCTGAACTGTTATGTTGAAGGCTAATAAATGCCATTACAGGAACAGGAAAGTCATTTCTCGGTGCCCTGATTACTAAGATTTTGTATGATGAAATAAGTAAGACCCTCCTAATTATTTGTTATATGAACCATGCACTGGATCAGTTCTTTAAGGACCTTCTGGATATTGGCATCCTAACCATGTTTATGGTACGGCTTGGTTCCAAATCTACACCGCGTACAAAGAAGCTGGGGCTGTTTGAGTAGTCTCAAGACATGTTGGGTGTTGATTTATGGTCTTTCATGAGCCAGAAAAGGGAGGAACTAGAAGAAGTAGTAAAGGAATTATAATCTTATTCTATAAAGTACAGCCGTGACTCTATTTCTAAAGATAATATGCTTGAATACTTAGAGTTTTCTGAGAACAGCATGTTCTTTGACGTATTTACTGTTCCCAAGGAGCCGACTGGTATGTAATATATCAGAAAATAAGATAAAAATATTAGAAAATACTATCTCTGGGATGCATAGTAACATGGGCGGGATTTGGATATTCTTCACAATTTTATCAGTCCTCAGCATGCTTATATCTGGACAATGGCATTTTCCAGGCGCCGGGAGTTGATGGAGACTTGGTAGAGAAATATATTTTTTAAGAAATCTACTAAATTAGTTAAGCTTGTCAGGAGATGTAATGTTCTTTCTAAGAATCTAGATAAATATTTTTATTACAAGTAACATTGCGCTGTTCTTGAAAATAAGTAAATTATAGCCTGCATAATAAATACAGCCGCTTAATATGCACCAGCTTTGCAGGTCGCTAAACCCGACGTCGTCATTGTGGAGGAGGCCGGGGAGATCCTGGAAAATCATATTCTGACAGCTATGATTATAGATATGCAGCAGTTGGTGTTAATCGGAGACTACAAGCAATTGTGTTTGAAGATTAATAATTATAACTTATTTATTAAAAAAGGTAATAGACTGGATCTTAACTGTTTCTTCTTTAAATAACTTATCTCTAAGGGCTATCTATACAATTCCCTTATTATACAGCACTGTATGCGCCCGGAGATATCCTGACTTGTCCGGTATCTGATATATCCGGACTTGCAGGATTCGGAGAAGACGTGTAAGCAACTACTATTCTGTGGATTCTAAACTGATGTCATATTCATAAACTATTGCCATCTGGAGCGTGAACTCTATGAATATGCTGAAAGAAAAGATCTAACTTTGAAGACTAGTAAGCAGAATCTATTTGAGGTAGAGATGATGTTGAAGGTTGTCAAGTACCTGGGGTAGTAAGGGTATGGTACAGAGGACATTATAATTTTGATACTATATTTAGGCTAGCTATTTTTGCTGCGGACGGAGCTGAGTAAAATAAATAATCTGATACTGAATGATCTGGATGCGAACGACCTCATACAGGCCGGTCTTCGGTTGCCGGGGAGTATGAAGGTGACTAGAGATCTGATTTATATATTAATTATAGGTAAGCGCGCCAATCTTCTAAATTCCGCGATAGATGGTAACCCAGGCAGATAATTACCAGGGTGAAGAGAAGAATATTATTATTATGAGTCTGATATATAATAATAAGGCCGGGGATATTAGTTTTATGGTTGTTCTGGAATATATTAATGTTCTACTTTCCCGAGTAAGAAATGCCCTGGTGATGATTGGGAACGCGAGTATATTTCTAGTAAGCCGGAAAGGACAGTCTATGTAGAAGTCTCTGCTAGAGATGTTTCAGGCCCATGGTCAGGTATATAATGGTGTTCCCCTCAAATGTGAAACTTATCCAGATTGTATGATTGTTGTCCAGTCTCCAGAAACATTTGAGAAGGAATGTCCTGATGGAGGATATTTGGATCCTTGGTATGTCAGTGTTTTATATAAATATATTAATTCCATGGTTTACTTAAACGGGAATTATAGCTTAATCTTACTCCCATGTAGTCTTCATTTATGTATTTGACGGTGCCACCGCGCTCTGGATCACAAGAGAATGAAATGCACAATGATTATGTACAAAGCCTGTCTTAAAAACCACAATTACTACTGGGAATGCTCCCAAGGAGAGCGGGTCTGCCCTATCTGTCACGGGGAGGCGATTGAGGCAGAGCAGAGAATAATTAAAGATGCCAAGCTGGAGGAGAAGTGATGTAATATCTAGCTTGAACATGCAAAGCAGCTTGCGGAGATTCAGTACAAAATTGAAATGCAGCGGGAATGCCTGACTAATGAGTAGAAGGTCCGAGATTATCAAGAAACTCTTACTCAAAAGTAAAAGGAGCTTAAGAGCCTGACTACGGTCGCAAGTCGCTTTACTACCTCCCGGTCAGCTGCGGTGAAGGAATCAGCTGGTAGTATTAGTAATGATAACAGTGAGCCCAAAACAGTCACTCTCAAGTCGGCTGCATGAGATGAGTGGGAAAGGCAGAAGATAGAAGAAGGCTAGTTAAACATAGTTTTAAATATACTGATAGATATGATTGGACTTGAAAGCGTCAAGGACAGCCTTCTTGCCATCAAGGCTAAGGTGGATGTGGTCGTTCGGCAGGGGGTAAGTCTGTCTGACGAGTGGTTCGGGGCAGCTCTCCTTGGTAACCCAGGAACAGGTTCGTGTAATATCTTTGCCCAATTTTTCCAACCACTGACTGTTCCCTCTAGGTAAAACTACTGTGGCGCGTCTATATGCCGAATTCCTTGGGTCTGTTGGGGTTATCCCGGGAAGCTACTTCATTAAAATATTGGGTTTGAAACTCGCCAATGCCGGTATTGCCGGGTGCCAAAAATATCTCAATAAAATAAAATCAAAAGGTGGAGGAGCTTTGTTTATAGATAAGGCTTATTAGTTAATCTCTGACAATAATGCAGGGGGTAGCTCGGTTCTTGATTTCCTGTTAATAGAAATAGAGAATTTGATAGGCAAGGTCATATTCATTCTTGTTAAATATAATAAGAATATAGAGAGCTTCTTTGTCTATAATCCTGGTATTCTAAGCAGGTTCTCTATTGAACTGTAGTTCCAGGATTATTCAGATGAGGAACTGCGTACAATCCTCCATCATTACATGAGCAAGAAATATAAGGGATGAATGCGGGTGAAGGATGGGCCGGATGGACTGTACATGTGCATTGTCACACGGCGTGTCGGTCGCGGCCGCGGTTGTGAGGGGTTCGGAAACGCTTGTAGCGTCTACAATGCCTTTGTATGTATTATAGAGTGTCAGGCCAAGCGACTATAGTGAGAATAAAGATTGAAAAAGTCTACTGATGACCTGCTTCTTACAAAGGAGGATCTTCTCGGTCCGGATCCGTGTACAGTACTTAAGAAGAATGTCACTTGGGATAATCTGTGTATATTAATAGGTCTCTGTCAGGTGAAGTAATTGGTCCAAGCCTTATTTGATATAGTTTCCTTTAACTACCAACGCGAGCTGGAGGAGAAGCCCATGATGGAGTTCTTACTTAATAAGATCTTTGTTAGGAATCCAGACACTGGCAAGACTACAGTTGTAAAACTGTATGGAAAGCTCCTAGCTGAGATAAGATATCTTTTAAACAGAGAAGGTAATTTTCCACCCGCTGCTTGTTTATTTATAGCTATTGAATCCCGTTTGCTGATACTTGTCTCTCTGTTAGTCATTGTTAAAAACCTATCTGACTTCATTGGCAATGTCATTGGGGGCTCAGAGGCCACTATAAAGGGCATCTTGGCCTCCACTCTTAGTAAGGTTCTAGTTATTGACAAAGTGTACATACTAGGGGGTATGTCCTTATCTTCAGATGGGGGTACTAATCCGGATATATTCAAGACGGCGGTCATTGATACTTTAGTTGTAGAAGTATAAAACGTCCCTGGTAATAATTACTGTGTCCTGCTTCTGGAATACAGGGATGCGATGGAAAGAATGTTCTAGATAATAAATAATAGTCTCTCGCGACGTTTCCCTATGAGTGCTGTATTTGACTTCGAGGATTTTACTGATAATAATCTCCAAGATATACTGAATCTCAAGCTTAACTAACTTGGTTTTCGCGCGACTACAGAGGCAAAATCAGTTATTTACTAATGTCTTAGTCGTGCCCGAAACAGACCAAATTTCAGTAATGCTGGCGAGGTAGATATTCTTCTTAACAAGGCTAAACTACGCCACCAGCAGCGACTATCCGCGCGAGAGACTAGGAACATTGATATTCTAGAGCCACAGAATTTCAATCCTGATTTTGACTGAGAATAGAATACAGTCACTAACTGTTAGAAACTCTTTCAAGGCGTTGTGGGTTGTGAGAAACTTATTATACAGTTTAAAGGCTATTAATATGTGGCTAGGAACATGAAAAAAATCAGATTAGATACTTGGGAAAAGATTTTTTTTAATTTCCTGTTTTGTGGCCCCCCAGGTATGCACTTATACAGTCATGGTACTGGCGGAGGTCTGTGTGAACTGACAGATATCTAGGATCTGGCAAGATATCAACTACACGCCGTATGGGACATGTCTTTTATAACATGGGGATTCTCGGGGCCCCCGAAGTAGTAGAGTGCTCATCGTCCGATTTTATTGTATAATATATAGGCCAGACCGGCCCAAAAACCGAGAGACTTCTTGAAAAGGGACTGGGTTGTATTCTCTTCATCAACGAGGCGTACCAGCTCGCAGACAGCATATTTAGAAAAGAGGCCATGGACCAGCTGGTAGATTATTTAATAAAGGAGAAATTCTTTAAAAAACTGATTATTATCCTGGCTGGGTATGACAAGGACATTAATCATCTTATGGCATTAAACCCCGGCCTTACCAGTTATTTCTCAGAGACAGTCACATTCAAGAACTTAACTCTCTCTTAATGTTAGATATTCCTGCGGGACAGTCTTGGACAGGTTTACCAAGTAAATTAATCTGTTATTCGGCAGCCTGATAACCAGTTTCACGCGTGCATCTTAGCATCCTTTGAATGCCTATCTACTCTTCCTGGCTGGGGGAACGGTCGGGATGTAAAAACCATCTCAGACACTATTATTAGGAGAGTCTTTTTGTCTCCTTTAGAAGGCCAGACACAGCTGGTGATCACTGAAGAAATGGTCAATGCGGTTCTCCAGTCCACAATTCAGGAGTGCCAGCTGCGGGCGACGACAACCGTCCCGAATCTGCCGACTTCCCTCGCTGCCATGCCAGCGATGGCTGGACCATCCCACGCGGCACCCTCCTTCACAGCTGCTTCCTGGGCAAAACAACAAGATAACCCGTTGACACCACCAGACACTGTCTCAGATGAAGCACCTCCAACAGAGGCCGACCTGAATGGGCCTCGCGATCCAGGGGTATCTAACGAGGTTTGGTACCAACTGCAAGCTGATCGAAAACACCACGACGCACAAATTAAGCACGATGCGGAGATCATTAATGAGGAAAAGGCTTTGCGAAAGAAACTGGATAATAATGCAGAGATACCAGACGATGACGAACGACGTCAATATGAAGAGCTTGTAAGGAAGTTTGTTAGGTAAATGGTTGAGATCGAGGAACGAAAGAAGAAGGAGGAAGAAGCTCAGAGGAAACTGCGGGAAATGGGTGTCTGTCCTGTGGGATATTGTTGGATCCCACAGGCTACAGGCTACCGGTGTGCGGGTGGTAGTCATTTTGTTTCCTCGGCACAGCTGGGCTTGTAAGTTCCTATGGGTCGCCATAATATCTGTCTTTTAGAATGCGCGCAATGCGAATGCCATTCCCTGATGAGGCCGGGCTCAGATACAATCAGTTCCTACTGGTTCGCAACCAAGATAGCATATACACCAGGACGTATTCTACGGTCTCGGCGTACGCAACTATTCCAATTTTACTGAAATGTAGGACATTCTTTGATTACGTTGGCGATAAATTATATCTGTCGCGGTTTTTATCACAAACCTCTCACTGGAAAGCTTACCTTCTGGCACGTAACCAAGTTATGGCCGCCTGACGATATCGGCTAGTTGCTCCTGATCAACAAGAGATCCTAAATAAGAAAGTTCCTGTTTGCTTCTGGGTACTCTCACAATGGCATGTCTATCTGAAGAGGCCCGATATGGATGTTCTATGCTGGTACAGGCCCGATTGGGTCTCCCCAGCGTGTCTTCCGGGTCCGATCCCAGCGTGAACTTATCAGAGTACTCTTTACCGAAGACTTACTCCACTGAGCTTCAGGGAATGTGTCGTGCTACTGAGCACGTAGATGCTGGCTGGAGGCTTGTTGAATGTCAAGTTAGAGCCCATTTCAAAATGTCGAGGCTCTTTGAAAAGCCTGTTGTGGTCGGACATGGTACAGTGGTATGTGGCCGAGGGGATACAGCTGCGAGGGGGTCAGAAATTAGTGCGACGGTGTCAGACCGGAGCAGGAAAAACAGCTTAGATAGTTTCAGAGAAATCCAGACTCAGGATAAGCTTAAATACATGATATATCTATTTCTAATATTAAATAATCCCAGTTATATGATATCTCTGTAGATTATATAAATAATCTGAACTTTTTATTAATATTAAATCTGATACTGAATTATCTTGATTACTTAATCTTGATTTTTTATTTATTAATATATTATAAATCCCTCCTTAGAATTTTTCAAGTTTAAACTTAATTTAAATTTAACAGGTTTACTTAATATTCTTATTCTATAATTATAACAGACCAGCAAATAGAGTGGCTATACCTGACTGTTATACCTTAACCGTAACCTGACTGTTAACCGGCAGTCAGGTTAAGGTATAAAGTTCACTTTAACTGTACAGTTAAGATCAGATTAAGATTAAGAAATAGTTATTAACTATCCTTAATCTCAGATTAGAAAGATCAGGTATAGCAGATAAATTAATAATTATAAATTAATTAATAATTTTTATAGATTCTTTACAGTAGTATTTTACTACTAGTAATATATTTTAAAATATAGTATTCTAAGTAGTTCTATATTATCTATTAATACTTAGTTTGTGTTGTTGGCTAGTGAATATTAATATAAATAATTAAATAGATTCTATATTAAGCTTTTATAAAAAATCCCAGGTAATAAACAGTAATTATATACTTAGACTAAAATACTAATAATTTTAAAATAATTATTATTTATTCTATTCTTTATATTATCCAGGTCTGTGGTCATGATAGCAGAGAAATCTTATAATTCAAGTATCTATTTATATCTAGATATATATAATATTAATAATCTGAGATAAAGATAGATTCTTTAATAATTTATTCTTTAAATTATTATCAAGATTATCTATATTTTTATAATTATTAATATATAATATTACTATTAGCTCCTTATCCTCTTTATCATTAACTGTAAATATAATATTAGGATTAAAATCATTAAATATATTCTAATACTTTTTATTTATAATAAAATAATCAGTATATATCTAAAATATAAATATCTTAATAGTCTCTGAAAATAAACAGCTCCAGCAGTAATAGCAAATATCCCAAGAATTATTAAATAAATATTTAATATTAATATTATTAGTTACAACTGTTAGAAAGTCCCTAGCTATATAATAAAAAATAGAAAACTGATTACAGTATAATTTCTAGTAGACAAGGATATCAGTATACCCTGTAATTTTTATAAAAGTTTTAATATATTTTAATATATTCAACTTCTAGAAGATTATTTCTAATATATTTTTAATATTAAAATAAATCTTAAGTTTTTTAAAAGTCTTATTAAAATATAAGAGTTTCTAATATTTTAAAATATTATAAAAGACCTTATCCAAGCCTGAGAATATATTAAAGACTGTAAATAATATATTAATAATAGAATTCTACTGATAATAATAATTAAATACTTTTTCAAAGACAGCTTAATACTGTTAATACTAATTAATATTATTATCTAGCCAGGCATTTTTCTTGAATTTTTCAAGCTTTAATATGGGATCAAGAATAGTTATAATTATATAAATATAGTTTTCAGATCTATAAATATAGCTATAATATTTTTAAAGCTTTTTATATATCTTTTCTAAATCTTGAAAAATCTCTTACTTCCAGGATACCTACTTCTATATCAGTTAATTAATAAACTGATCAAGATAATTAAATAGATTATTATAAATATTATAAATCTTATGAACTGTAGGGCCCCTGTTCTCTAATAAATATAAAATAAAAAAAAAGAACAGATATAGAAACTTAAAAAAATATTTTAAATATTTCTATTTTACTAAAATAGAAAAAAGATAATTAATATTATTCTATTTCTAGCACTGGACAAAGCTCTCGATATACTAGCATAATTTAAGAATACAGTAAATTATCAAATAAGTTAAGTTCCATTAGGTTTTATAATTAAGGAGAAGATAGTATACTAATTAAAATTTTAATAATTAAATAAATTAGAATTTCTTTTAATATTAAAAATTAATATTTATAAACCGTGTAATCTTTCAGATCTATAACTAAATATTTAATTATTATAAAATAGTTTAATCTAATTAATTTCTTAGGTGCCTTCTGTAAAAGCTTTCTGTAATATAATATAAGAAATTTCTATATAAGACTTTTATAAAAAATATTTAAAAGTTTTTTATTTAGATTTTTTAGAAAACTCCAGTATATATCTTCTTAATTATCTGAAAGATACCGGAAGAGACTTTAAATTATTTATTATTATTTTTTTATATATAATTAACAGCTTCATTTATAACCTTAATTCAGAGTTTCCGAAGAAAAGTATTGATAGAAAACTGAATAATATAAATAAGATATAAAATATAATACTAGCTTTAAATTATAATTATAAGATTAGAGTCTACTAGAGCCTTATAAAATCAGAAACAGTTATTAAATTAACTTCAGAGATTAGATATAATAGCACTGAATATAATATTATTATTACTAGTATTATTAGTAATCACATCCAACAGCCAGCAGGTCAGTTAATATTTTTATAAAATTTTTATAATTATTTTAGCCAGGTTCTTACCAGTATAAGTTTCTGATACTGGTCAGAATCCCAGTAATATCTTATAATAATCCAGATCTTCTATTAAAAAATATCCAGTTAAAGTAAGAAATACTTTCTAATCTAAATTAATTTAATAATTAATAATAATTAATATTCACCCTGTCTCCAGAAATCTTAATAATAACTGAATATATATCTAATTTAATAACTTTAATAGATACTCTATGATCTATATTTAATTAAATATACTAGGCTTTCGGGAGGGCGCGAGAGAGGTAAGATTAATTATTTATTAAAATTAAATATATTTAATAATTTAAAAAAAAAGACAGCAGACAATAATAAAATATAAAATCTAATTATAAAAATTCTATTTATTATAACCTGTGGGGGCCTAGCAGCTCAAGTAAAAATAATATTTTAAAATAAATAATAATAAAAAAATAACTAGTATTAATATACCTGTAATAACCCTATAATAAGTATTTATCTAATTATTTATCTAGAAAAAACTAAGAATTTCTATTTCTTACAGCTCTTGCAAAGATAATAACTCATAGAATTAATTCTAGAATTATTAACTTCTAGATACTGTAATATATATAAATATTAAATATAGTAAATATAAAAGATTTTATTTAAAAATAATATATTTTTTTAAAAATTTATTTATACTGCTGCTGTCTTTTCCTGACTAAAATAAAATAATAGTTTTAAGACCTGTGAACAAGTCTTATTAAAAGAGATTATTTATTATTATTTATAAAAAATAAAAGTCTTTTCTAAGAAACTAGATATAAAATAATTTTATAATTCTTTATAATATACTTAATATTAAGATTAGAGAGACTAGCAGGATTAACTAAAAAATTTATTTTAATATATAAATTATTATATTCTCTTACTGTCTGAGAAACAGAGATAGAGGGTTTAATAAAATCTTCTAAAAATAAATTAAATAAATATAATTAATTTATAGTGCTGAGTCTAATCATATATAATATAAGAAGAAAGCAGATAAATAAAAATTCTATAAAATATTATAATAAAGTTTATATAATTATTTATTATTAAGTAAAAATATATTAACTATATAGTTAATATTATACTATAACTATAAGTTAGTTTAGTTATATTATATTATATATAATATTTATATAAGTTATTATTATATATTTATTTAAGTCTCTATTATCTAGATCTTATCTGATAGAATAATATTTATTTCTAATTTATCTAGACCTTATCTAGATTTTACTTATTAATTTATTATTAATTATTATTTTATCTAGACCTTACTTAGACCTTACTTATTAATTTATTATTTACTTTTATTTTATCTAGATTTTATTTTATAAATTCTTATTTACTTTTCTTATTCATTTCTTATTCTCTTTCTATTATTTTACTATATTTTTTTTTATTTAATTTTTTTTTTTTCTTTTTTATCTCTCTTCTCTTTATCTCTTTTTATTTTTTTTTATTAATCTATTTATTTTATTTATATTATATCTTGTTCCCGTGGTGGTTCCTGTCTTAGATAAATTATTTCTATATTTTTATAATAATAGATTAAATTAAGAACTTTTAAAAAGATAGAATTCTTAGCTTTATAAAATATTTTCAGAATTTTTTAGCTGATCTTTAACTAGACATCAATTTAGAAGAAGACTACAATAATAAATCTATTAAATTTAATCTAAAAAAAGATTAAAAGAATCTTTAATATATATTAAATCTGGATACTACAGATAAATAGAAATTATAGCTGTAATTAAAACTAATTATATCTTTCTAGAAAGAACTTTAGAAATTATATTTATATCTAAAAATATTTCAAGACCAGTATGGAATCAGGCTCAGTTGAATTCAGAAACTGATACAGATTAGTAAAATAAAAAAATAAAAAAAATACTTCTAATTTTTTTAATAAAAATAAATTAAATTAATAAATAAATAACCACCTTGCCTGCTTCATATAATAGATAAAGAACAAGAATATAAAATCTAATAATAAAATATTTTATAACTAAAATATCTTAGTTAAGAATATAAACCAGGCTGTATAAACTCTAAAAAAAATCTTTATTAAAATATATTCTCCCAGCCAGATTAGTAATCCCATAGAGAGAACTATTATTTTTAAAACTATTAAAAATAAATTATATTTTTATAAATATTAATTATAAAAAACTAATATAGGACCCTTCTTAATATTAATAATTAAAAAATATTAAAATAATCTAATAAAAAGAGCTTGCTATTTTAAGTATCTTAAAAAATAAAAATATTAAAGTCTCTTATTATTAAAAAGAATAAGATTATAAAAAAATATTTTAATAAAAAGCTCAAAGAAATAATAAACTAATTAAATAATAAAAATATAAATAATATTTTATAAAAATTAGAAAAAGTAGCAGGCTCTAGTATTTCTTATAATAAAACTAGTATTAATATATTCTGGATAAATAATATACTAATATTAAAATAAAAGATCAAGCTTAAACTAAAATCTAACCAGTATAAATCTTCTGAAATATACTAGAAAATTATATATATTAATATAGCTCTATATCTTATATAAAAAAAAGAGAAGGCAGCACAAGTCTACTTAAATAATAAAAATAATAATAAAAAAATAGAAGAAAAGAATACCTAACTTATTAAAAATATTAATAATATTATTTTTAAAAAAAATATTTATTAATCTTTTAAGAACTATGAGATTCCTGTAACTATAATACTAATTACTAAAATACTTATAGAACTCACTCCCGAAAGTATAGCTCACCTACAGTAATAATAGAAATAGATAAATAATAAAGACTTCCAGATTAACTGTACTAAGAAAAAATTAATAATAATTAATATTAAAAACTCAGAATAATCTTATATATTTAATATAATCTAGAATTTATACCTCAAATTCTGGCAGGCCCCTGCTATATAAAAGCTATAATATATTTAGTTTAATAATAAGACTCGCGGTACCATCCTAGCAGATATAATAAATCTAAAAAAAATTATTAAAATTATTAGATTTATTCTAACAGTAAATTAGCTTTCTAGAAGAACTTTATATCAGATAAATTTAGCTAATATCTAGCAGATAGCCTGTTATAAGTATTAGTAAATATAGAATAATTTAAAAATTAATATTAAACTGATCTTGATTATTGTTTCTCCCTATCTAATTAAACAATGGATGACTGAGTTAAAGAATATAATTAATAAATTAAAAATATTAATATATTTTAATAATAACCACACACAGGAAGAGAGCTCTGTGTTTATTAAGAAATATTTAATAAAAAATAATAAAATTTTTTAATCTGACTTTAATAACTATTATATTATTATATTAATTATATATTAGATTTTAGAAGTAAGGTATGGCCTGTCAGCAGTCTTCTAATAATATAAAAAAAAATATTTAAATAAATATAAGATTATTAATTATATCCTGTCTGACTATTTCTTTAAGCTGAGCAAGTATTTTGACTTGGTTATAATTAATAAAGTCTATTATTTACATAATATAAACTTAGATATATTATTTATAATTTATTAATTATAAAATACTTTTAATCTTTTTATAACCACTATATTATTCTTTAATACTTATAATACAGACTTCTTAAACTACTTCTGACTACTATTATTTAATAAAGTAATTTTATTAAATTAAAGTCCTGAGATACTTATCTCTCAAGATAAATATTTATTATTATTAAATTTCTTTTATAAATATATTCTTTTATAAATAATTAATAACTAAACTAGTATTACTCAGATAAAATATTTATTTAAATATCTAATAATTAAAAGAAGTATAGCCTCGGCAGTATTAATTAATTCAGATTAAACTATTAAATATAATATTTTATCTATTATTAAGAAGGTTTTCGAAGTCCTATTCACTGAGAAAAAAAAAATATATATATTATTTATTAAAATAAAAATAGAAAAGTTCTAATACTAAATAACTATAATCCAAGCATTCCAAGATTTAGATAAATAATATAAAATCTATATTAATTAATCTTAGAAATATTATAACTCAGTTTTATTATACTAGAATCTCTTATCATAATTAAAGATATCAGAAAATATATTAATATAATAAAAAAGAAGATCCTGATCCCGATATTTTTTAAAATATTTAAAAATAAACAGATCATGACTAGAGAAAATAATATTAAAATTTTTTATTATAAACTTATAAAACCCCCGGGAATAGCAGAAAATCAGAATATAAACTATTTTTAAATTATTATTTATTAGTTTACTAGAATGCTCAAGAACTCCCCAAAAATATATTTAATAATATAAATTCTATATAATCAAGTACTTTTATATAGAAAAAAAATATTTATTTAGATCTTCTTCCCAGGTAAAGAGATATATATTCATGTAATATTAAAAATTACTAGTTTTAATAATATAATATTCTATTCAGGTATAGACCACAAAGAATATAATAAAATAATTAATAAGTTTAATATCTACTAAAATTATTATATAATTCTTATTATATTATACTTCATGAACTCTGCAGGACTTAATCTCCAGTAGTACTATTATAATATTTATTTATTTAGTATAACTCTTGCCCGTATAATTATTAAGCAGGCCATTAACTGAATTAATTATATTAAATAAATATATATTATTTAAATATATAATTATTATATACCTGATTCCTTTTAGATCTCTTTAAATAACCAGGTGATATAAAAAATATTATTAAATATAATAATAAATATATTTTCTTTACTTATATCTCTTCTTAATTCTGAATAAAATTATATTAAAATAAATAAATAAATTCTTTAGGACAGAAGACTTCTCTGTTTTAAAAAAATTAATAAAAAAATAAAAAAAAATATTAATAACCTGTAAATCCTATTAAATATAATTATAGTGGAATTAGAGGAGGCGCAATTTAATTTTTAAAAAAAAAAAAAAATCTAAATATATTCTATTTATATTTAAAAAAAAGAGTCCAACTAAAAAGAAGACTATAAATAAAATCTTAATTAAAATTCTAAAAAAAATCCTAAAGAAGGCCCAGAACAAGAAAATTATTAATAAATAATAATATATTAGACTAATATAAATCTCTTCTTCTAATATATATTTTAATAAATAATAATAAATAAAATATAGATTTATATTTATATATTAATTATATAAATTTTTTATAAGTCACTCCTACTTCTTCTCTTATTTAAGTCAGTGGGAAAGCGTAATCTAGATCTATCAGTAATAATTTATATAAATATTTCTATTATAGAGTCTATTAGAGATCTGTCCAGTTATATAAAAAAGAATTATTAGAATTTATTATTTATAAAAATCACTGCTTAGAAAAGATTAAATAAATTAACTTTAAAATTAATCCTGTTTAGAGATATATAGTTTACTTATTAAATAAATTTAAAAAAAGAAAAACTGTTATTTAATTTAAATAAAAATATAATTCTAATTTTAGTCTTAGTAATATTAGCAGCAGTAATCTTGGCTGGTAGATAATCAAGATTAAGATTCTATATTTTAGCTATATAGTCTGCAGAGCATATTATAAGATACTTAATATTTAAAAAAAAAAATATAAATAAAATAGTTCTTATATATCTAGAAGATATATATTAAAATAATATATATTATTTTAATATCTTAGATTATATACCAGATATAGATATTATTCTATAAGCCGATTATTTAAAATCAGTAATAAAAATAAGTAGCAAGTAATTATCTTTTTTATTTTTTTATTTCCAGTACAGAACAGGGATCTATTATTTATAATACTAATACTATAAATAATAATATTATTTTCAGGAATCAGTTATTAAGTGTAGATACTTTCACCCAGATCTTAAATCCAGATAATACCAGTATAATTATTACTAATAAACTTAAACTAGTTAGAATAAATTATAATATTATTAACTAGAATTTTATATATATAATTACACTGCAGGCTGTCTGTATAAATATTCTAGATTTTAATTATATTATTTTTTAAGCTAGTAATTATCTACTTTTCCTTATACTGAAACACAACACTAGTGATATTATTTATATAGCCATCAAAGATCATAACCGGATTAGAATTAATAAATTTAATATTATATAATTTAATATTATTATAGCCAGCAGCTGCCAAGTACTGTTTATCAGAAGTAATATATAGATAATTAACTTAGAAATCAGAATACTGTATAATACATAAGTAATTTCTTGATAGAATTTTATAAAAAACTATAAATTTATAAATAATTAAATTAAAATAAACCTGATTTTTCTGTACTTATTATTACTTAAATAATAGTTATTTTTTTATAAAAGACAAGACTGTTAATTAAAATTTTATTAATCTAAAATAAAAACTTAGAAGTTCTCAAGACTTATAAAAAAATATAATTAGATTATAATAAGCTTCGGAGACTATATAAAGCTGTATTTAAAGATATATATAAATTATTAATATAATATATTAATTTTATAAAATATATATAATTAAAATAGAACAGTAAATATATATCTCTATTAATATTTTCTGTTGTAAGATTGTATTATATAAAAAACTTTATTTTTACTAATACTAAAGATAATTCTAAATTAATTAATTTAATATATAATAAAGAAAGTATCTTTTCTTCTTTTAATTTATTTTTTATAATGAAAATATCTATCTTAATATATTTATTAATAAAGATATAAATAGATAGAATAAGCAGGAATTAATCTGAATATATCTTATTTATATTAGAGTCTAAAATAATATAGCAAGTAGGACTTGGTACCAAGAATAATTAAAACAGTTAACTGTCCTGTTTTTAGGCTTAACCATGGCCAGGTATAAGATTTTCCTTAACCTGACCATTAACCTGACGGCAGGTATAAACCTTGCTATTAACCTGACCTGACCTGGCCGTTTGCCACTCTACCAGCAAATCATTAATAAAATTATTTAATTTATTAATAATATTAAATCTACAGATATATTTTTTTATTAATATTCTATTATTTATAATATCTTGAGCTAATATATATTTATTCTTATTTTAAAATATCTCTGGATTTAATATAATAAATAATCAATTAGATTATTTTTCTGATAATAAATAATCTAAATCTGAATCCGAAGCCAGTATTAACTTAGATAATATTATAAATAATAATATATTATCTTCTTAAGCTTATGTTCCTTTATCTTTAAGTTTAATTTCAGGAACAGAAGTGATTATTAATAAAAATAATTAATTTTAAATTAAGATTAATAAAGTTCAGGATTATCTTATTATATTTAAATATTTAAATACAAAGAATAATAATATTAATATTATTTATTTTATATATTATAAAAATCTATTACTATCTTATATTTCAGAACTATTTATTTCTAATATTAATTAGATTTTTAATACTTTTATATCAAAGATATATTCATTTTTAATTTATACTAAATTTAAATTAATTAACTTTATAATATAAATTTAATATAATATATAAACTAATATAATAGCTAGAAAAATGGCACTCCAGCTATTTTAATAAAAAAATATAATATATAATTTAATTTAGATTTAATCTTAATCTTATACTTATTTAGAAATTAAATACTATGAATATTAAGATAATACTAGACTTTTCTATTTTATAATATAAAATTATATTATATTTAATAAATTATTAAATTTAAAATATTATTAATATTTTTATTTTTTTTATTTATTTATATTTCTAGCAGAAGCTCTACAGAGATCTATTAAAAAATAAATATATTTATTATATAATATAAAATTTAATATACTAATATTAAAAAGATTTTACTATACTGTACTGTATAATTAGAAGAATAAGTAATATAAATATAATAAAAAAAATTTATATATTATAACTTTTTATAATTTTTAAAAAAAAAACTCAGTATATATTTTATTTAATATAAATTTAAATTATAAATATTATTAACTTTTTTAAAGCAGATTTTCTTTAATTATCTAAAATCTTCTAATACAGAGCCTTGGCATAATGCTATTATTATTAATAAATAAAATATACAGGTTAATATTAAATATCTTAAAATATTAATAATTAATAAAGTTTAATAATTAATTAAAAATTATTTATAGATTACTTAATCTTAATCTTAATATAAATTCTGTGATATGTTTCAACTTTATTTAAACTTAATATATATTAATTTATATAGAATACTATTATTCTCAGGATCCTGGGAAGGTTCTTAAAATAAAATATAAATTAAAATTTAATTTTTTTATCTATTATTTAATATTAATTTTTATTTATTATAATAATTATATATTTTTATTATTTATATATTTTATCCCCTCTAACTAAGCTTCTTATTGAAATTGCAGATAAGATTAAAAATTTTTTATTAAAAATAAATATATTTAATCTAATAGTAAGTAAGTTTCTTTTTAGTTTAAACTTAATTTAAATATAATCTAATTTAATTTCTAAGAAAATTTTTTTAAATTTTATTTTTATTAAATTAATAAATCTCTTTGGTCTGAGATCTCTCAGAGTTTTTTATTAAAATCTAAATATAAAAGATTACTTAGCTGTATTAATCTGTAAGAAAAGACTACTATATTATTTAAAAAGAATTAATATAACTAGTATATATTATAAAATTCTGATTTTTTTTATTAATAATATTTATAGGTGTTCTTCGAGAGTAGAATTTTAATAAAAATAAATCTTTTAATTAATAAATTTAAAATATCTTTTTTTTTAATTTAATATAATAATATTTTATGATAATTTATTATACAGATTAATAAGCAGCTGTATTTTAAATAATTTATTTTATTAAGATTAATCTTTTCTTTAAGATAATTACTGGAAAGATTAATATTTTTAATATTATAAAATAAAATAAAAAAATAAAAAGTAAGTTTTATAATCTAACTTTAATTAATATTATTAATATACTAATTATAAAAGAGCTTAATATCTATATATATATTTTTATAAATCTTAAAATACAGATAGCTTATTATATAATATTTTAAAAATTATTTTAAATATTAAATATTATTAATCAGCAGAATGTACTCTTTCCATATATATATTAGAATAAATGGGGGATTTAAATAATAATAATAGATATATATATAAAATAAAATCTAGATTAGTAATAATTATTATTTAAATAATATTTAAACTTAATATTATTATTAAAAAATTTTATTATAGATTTAGAAGATTATTTCTATAAACTTAATTTAATTTAAAAATAAGTAGAATATCTTCCATATATTTTAATATTTTATAAGATATATATTCAGAGAAATTTTTATAGAAAACTTAATAATTATCTTATAAAATATATAATATATATTATATAAAATTCAGTCTCACATGATGAGCTTCTTACAAAAGTAAAGTTAATATAAAATATATATTCTAAAAATATAAAACTTTATAATTAATTAAAATATAAGCAGAAGATCTGGATATTAAATAAATTATATTTTAATTAATCAAAAATCTATTATACATAGTGGCAGATTATATATATATATATTAAAATTATAAAAGCAGCTATTTCTAGAATAATTATATTATTAATTAAAAAATTTCTTATTAGGAAGTATTTTAAAGTAAATAAAATTTAAAAAAATTTTTAATCTAATTTTAATTTCTGTTTAATCCGGTTTTAATTATATCTGAGTATCAGTTAAGTTTGAAATTTAATTAATATTTAATTAAAACTTAAATTAAAACCAGCTGATACTTAAATACAACTAAAACTATATTTAATATTTACTAAATTTCAATCAGATTGAAAAAGTATAGTAAAGAGGTATTAATAAAGCAGACTATATAAATTAAAACTAATATTAATTTTATATAAAATAATTCTAATAATATATTTTATATAATAAAATATTTGAAAAAAAAATAAAATAAATATATTTTATTTGGTTTTTCTTATCTTATATTAGACTGAATAGATTCTTGATATAAATAAAAATTAGAAAAAAATAATAAAATAATATTAGAAATATTCTGAAACTTCTTAGAACCTACAGAATTTCTATAATATATCTAATTTTATTCTAATTAATAATAATTCCTATTCAGTTACTGGTTTATTATATACTGGATTAATATTAAGAGTATTATTTATCTAATTTTTATAAAAAAATCAGTCAGTATAATCTTCTCTAGAACCTGTAATAGTTAAAGTTTTATTATATATTAAGATATAATAGCAAAAAATTAATAAATTATATAAATAATATAATTAGTTATTTATTAAAATTTATTTATATAAAGAAGCCAGTATCCTAGAAATAAAAAATTATATAATAAAAAATTAATAATAACTTAATTTAAACTCAGATAAAATTAATTTTATTATTAGATTAAATATATTATAATTTATTCTTATTTATTATCTTATTATTATCCATTTATTACTATTACTATTAAATAATTAAAACTAAGTTTAAATCATATTCTAGCAGGCTTTAAATATAGTATTATTTATTATAATAAATAATCTGATTTAGAAAACTAAGTATTCTGTAATAATATTATTTCTTAACCAGAATAAAAAAGTCAGGGATATTATTATCTAGATTCTTTAGAATATTAGTACTATACTATAATAAATTAAAATTAGTTTAAATTCAATAATTATTAAATTAAAATATATTTATTTTATAGTTTTTATAAACAGGGATTACAGTCTTAATTAAATTTTAATAAAATCAGATATTATAATATTCTGTAAACAAAGAATCAAGCTTATTATAAACTAATTAATTTAAATTTAATAATAATATAAATATATTATTATATACATGGCGTGTTAAATCATTGCAGATCAGATTAATTAAAGAACTAGTATAAGTTTAACTATATATATTAATTAAAATTAAATAAAATTTAAATAAAAATTAATTTTAATTTAAATATAAAATTTTTATACTGCCAGCTCTGGCTCTGACAGTACCAGATTAAGATTTATTTATTAATAATAATTTTTAAAAATTAGATATTTCCTTTAAGACTCTTTCAAAGTAAAACTAAATTTAAATTTAATATAAATTCTAATAATTCAGAAATTATATATAAATTAATTTTTATACTAATCTCTCATATAGCGATACAGAGAGGTGGCTATAATAAAAATTATATTATATAAAATATTACTAT